TTAAAAAAAAATTTTTTAAAGCAACTTTTCTGGATACCACATGAGCAGTATAGGAGGTTTCCTGTAATCGACCTGATGGTGCAACGTTGCTCTAATATATAATGTTCCATCCTGAAATACATGCCTGGGAATGTATGAGTGCACATGGGTAACTACTATGGATTGAAAGGCAAAATAGAAAGACATACCAGTTTATAACAAAAATAATAATAATCTTCAGCCTAACAAAGTAATGACGATATTGGTACCTGTTTAATGAACTCAATTCATCCTTACACAACGTTCTGAGGTTGAAGAAAAATGGTGGTCTCCATCTTATAAGTGGGAAAACTGAGGCTCTGAGATATTCCATCAATTGCCCAAATCCTCACAGAAATTATATAGCACAGCAGGACTCCAAGCCCAACTCCACTGCTCCCCAAAACATGCTCTGAACTCCTGCATGTTCTGTTAAATCCAGTCCTGATTTTCTTCCCCTCTTCCTCTCTGCCTCAGGGCAAAGGTGCCAAAATCCAGTGGCCAAACCGTGAGGCAGGATTTCTTGCCCTAATCCCACACAGCCCATCCAACAGCAGGCTGAACAACACCTCCAACTGGATAGCGCTCCAACATAACAAGTTTAACGTTTCCAAAATGTTGGAATCACCTTCTCATCCATCCCCAGCCTCTAAAACCAGCTTCTGCTTTGGAATTCTGTTTTGGGGTTTTGTTTTGCTTTGTTTTTGGATGGCATGGCCCTACTCTCAATTGCTAGAACCTTCTCTTTGAGAACCTCACTGCCCTTTCTCACCCAATCCACACTCAAGACTTCCCTGGGGTCTCTCTCCACTCCTCTCCAATGCTCCAGCTCAGCTCAGTGCTTTCCTCACTCCCCACCCTCAATGGCTTTTCCCAATATTTCAGCTGCCTTCCAAGTCTAGACTTCCAGCCATATCTTCCCCAGATTAATTGCTAATCATGCCACTGACCCACTCAACAACTTGTACTCACTCTCTCCCCTTTGCACACACCCGCAAAATATATTCACCCCTGCCACTGGATGCTCCCAACACACTCAAATTTAACATCCACAAATGCCCCACCACATGTGCTCCTTGCTTTAGTCAAACTAAATGAGCACATTCTCCAGAAATATCTTCCCACCACCCCTTACCTTCCCTCACACAACTGCTCACCTCAAAATGCTCTCTAGCCATCAGGACTTGGGATCATCTTTCCCTGCTCACTGCCAATGCCCATCTCAGTGCCCCACAATCCTTTGCATCCATCCACATTGTATTTTTGGCATCTCTATGAAAGCATCTTTCAGGAACTCTATTGTGTTTTGTAACTAATTCTATACTTGTCTTACAGCATAAACTCTCTGTTGTTCTCATCCCTCAATCTCTCCTAGAATTCTGCACATTGTGGGTGTTCAATAACGTTCTGTTGAATTAAACAGAACCAGCGAATTCTTCAGGCAATGATTTGGAAACACGTACAAAGGGAAATCAACTTCATATGCCTTAAGCAAAAGCCTAAACCACTGGAGAACCACTTTCTCCCAAAGGAGTGAAAACAAAGACAAGAGCAATCACTTCAGTTTGAACCATAAATTCATCAGATCCACTTACAGGCTGACTGTTCTCCTTGGGAGAACAGAAGGTGGGTTGCCCCTTGTATGAATGTCATTACCTTCCCTCCAGAGAATGGATGGAGGGGAGGCAGAAGCACAGAGATAAGCCTTCAAGAACAGGTTTTCTAGAAGCACAATGGCTTCTTGAGGTACAATTCTTAATTTGCATCAAAAATAAAATTAATGGGTAAGGTTTAGAGTCAGATGAGCTTTAACTGACTTGGGGAAAATAAAGTCAGAGACGCGTGGTATAAAGACTCCCAGCCTGGGCAACAGGTCTATGCACCTCACCCTCAGCCCTCCCCTCCCACCCACCCCCCCCCACCCCCCCCGCCCTCAGGGCCCTCATCTGTACAAAGAGGGCTAGACTAGGTGACTTCTGAGTCTTTCAAAACTCTGTGATTCTATGAATGTCTTATCAACTACAATGAAGCTGGCTACAACAGCAACTATCAGTTGAAAGAGAGAGAGACAGACAAAGAGAAAGAGAGAGAGAGAGAGAGAGAGAGAGCAAGAGAGATATCGCACTCCAGACTCTACTTTTAAACTGATGTGTCCCTGGTGAGACATGACTGAGCTCTATAAACTGGCTTCTGTGAGGTTCCTGCAAATTTGCAATCATGTTGTTCCTCTGGGTACATGCCCTCCTAAGGGCAAGTCTTCAGCAGTAACAAGTTATTTGCAGGCACGGCCTTTTCATCAAAGCCTATAATGAATGTAATTTGGAGGCCTGGCTTGAGATCTTGTCTTACTGCTGCCTGCCCAACTGACCATGTCATACTGAGATAACCAAGTTCTTATTTTCCCACAGGGGTTCAGAAGTGTCCAAGTTCCTGGTCCTCCCCTGTCAACTACCCACACAACCAGGCATCAACCCCTATTCCATAGGTACAACACTGCTTGAAACAAAGACGTGTGTAATGCCCTACCATAGAGGAAGGGTTAAATAGCCCATGATACACTAAATAGCTCATGAAACACTACACAACAGTTAAAAAGAAAGAGGTGGATTTATATGTCCTGACATTGAAGGCTTTTCATTATATATGTTAAATAACGGGAGCAAACTACAGAAGAATATATTAAGTGTGATGCCATTTTGTTTGCTATATTACATATAGGCTATATACATATGTAAATACATATCCATATATAAAATTGTATGAGTATAAAGAAGTATCTGGGAAGATAACCAGTAAATTATTAATAGTTGATACCCCAAGAAATGGATATGAGATGAGTTTCACTTTTTCCCTTGTGTTTTTTTGAGTGATTTGAAGTTTTGTCAAGGAGTACAACTTATTAGGTAGCTTATAGTAATAACAGCAATATATTTTTTTCAAGTATGTTTCACGTCTGATGCAGAGCCCAATGTGGGGCATGAACTCACAACCCTGAGATCAAGACCAGAACTGAGATCAAGAGTTGAACGCTCAACGGACTGAGCCACCCAGGCGCCCCACAACAGCAATATTTTTTTTAATCTGGTATTTACAACTATCTGGCCTAAAATACACACTCTAGGGGCACCTGGGTGGTTCAGTCGGTTAAGCGTCCGACTTTGTCTCAGGTCATGATCTCGCGGTTTGTGAGTTTGAGCCCCGCCTCGGGCTCTGTGCTGACAGCTCAGAGCCTGGAGCCTGCTTCCGATTCTGTGTCCCTGCTCATACTCTGTGTCTGTCTCAATGATAAATGAACGTTAAAAAAATTTTTTTTAAATATACACTCTTATCTAGCACCCTTTTGTCCAGGTCCCTCTAAGGCTGAGGCTATTTTATTTTATTTTTTAATTTTTTGTTTTAACGTTTATTTATTTTTGAGACAGAGAGAGACAGAGCATGAATGGGGGAGGGGCAGAGAGAGAGGGAGACGGAATCAGAAGCAGGCTCCAGTCTGAGCCATCAGCCCAGAGCCCGACGCGGGGCTCGAACTCACGGACCGCGAGATCGTGACCGGGGCCGAAGTCGGATGCTTAACCGACTGAGCCACCCAGGCGCCCCAGGCTGAGGCTATTTTAAAGGTGAGAAAGATACACATCAGAGCACATCTTGGGTTTCTGAGTCTTTTGAGGATTTTGAAAGGTACTGACATGTTTTTTAAATAATACAAGAAATGCCAAGCACCCTTTTTCACAAAGCTCCCTGGTCCTCAAAGGCAAGAAAGGTGGTGAGGGCACCTATACTTGTAAATTAAATCTGAACGAAGATGTTAACTGAGTATTTCCTAAAACAAAGGCTCCTTAGAAACATATCAAGAGTGGCTGTAGGTGAAATAGTAATGGAACCACCACCTTCCTAACATACTTGTTCCAATCCCAGCAAGGCCCGTCTCTGCTTATCATCTGAATAAACGTGATCAACACCCCCCCCCCGCTTTTTTTTAAGAATTAACTCCGCCAACCCACTGTATGGGACCAAAGCCAGACAGCTCACTAGAAAAGGAATCCAGGTCGTCCACATTATATTTTTTCAGATCAGCTATGAGCATCATACACATTTTTACAGTATTCCTAAGTGTAGGAAACATTAGGAAGCAGTGTGGGCAGTCTGAAAACCCAGGGACATCTCAGCTAAGGCAAGGACCAATCTAAATATAAAGTACCTGTGCACACCAGAGTAAACCGAAGGGTATCTGTGTTACTTACAAAAGCCTCATAAAAAGGCACCCTTTGAATTCCATGTCCCATGATTCCTCTGCTACACACATAACATGATGTGCAGATTCTCAGCATCTGCACCACCTACCGCAGAGCTTCTTGGAAATGCAGACTCTCAGACACCCCAGACCTATAGCAGCCCTTTGCTCACAATCATTGCTACTCTTGGGAGCTCTGGGCATGCAGGCTTCCTCCCAGCCTACCTTGGGTTTCCTTTCTTCCTAACGGGACTTGTTTAGGGTCAGGGAGGTACTACTAAATCAGAAACCTGAGCTTGGGACCCCAATTCCAGAGGAAGTGAAGGAGGTCAAAGAAGACAAAGGGAAAGGAGGCACCCGCGCCAGCACTCTCCTGTAGGAGGCCCGGTTGGGTATGGTGGGCAGGCCAGGTGCTCAGCCTGGCTAGCCAGTTTCGCCAGGGAGAGGCGGAGAGTGGGTGCAAAGGCAGGTTGCTCAGCCCAGAGGAGAGGGCTGCAGAATGGAGACGGCTGTGGACTGTGAGCCAGGTCCCCCCCACCTTGGGGCACCCCCAAGCTCAAGGGAGGGGAGCCAGGGCATAAGTGCAGTTGGACAGGCTTTGGGAGAAAGAGGCTACCAGGAAAAGGGAAAGAGAGAGACAGACTCCCATCTGTCAGACAGACAGGCAGGCTGGCATTAGGAGGAAGGGGACCACACATCCCCAGCGGAACAGACAGGACGCTGCTGCCCGATGGCCAGAGGCCTGACTCACAGGTGCGCAATGCCCGCTTTGCGCACGGCGGTGGAGATGGCTTTGACCGCAGTACAGAGCGAGTTGAGCAGCTGGGTCATCTCGCCTGTGCCGCGGGCCTTCCTGCCCTCTTCCATGACGAAGCGGGTCAGGGTGACGATATCCGTGTCGAAGGCCGCCCGGTCCGTCATGCTGAGGCCGGGCTGTGGCGGGTTGGGCAGCAGGTGCAGGCAGCAGGTGCGTACGGCTGGGCGCCGTGAGAGGAGTGAGCAACCGCGCAGCGTGTCGGCACCACTCGGAGCGTAACTGGCCAAGGCCAGGTTCAGGCGGCGTGTCCTAGGGGAGCCTATAGACACAGAACGCCGCCTCCCGCCCCCGGGAACACCTCCGCGCCCGGGCCTCCGCCCTGCTCAGATTGCGGCTCCGCCCACGCCGACCCGCGGCTGACGTCCGGAATCCCGGCCGCAGGCTCTGCCTCCAGGCGCCACCACCTGTCCTTCCTCCGCCGTCGCCTCACCACGCTTGCGCGCCGCCTGCCCAAGGCCTCCGACAGTGCGGAGCGGGGCTCAGGGCCACCTGCACGATCTCCGCGAGTCCCCGCAACGACCCTGCCTCGAGGTACAGCCCTGAACACCCCTCCCCTCGTTATAAAACGGAAGTTCGGCAGGTTACGTTAGTGCTCCCTGCGGCGGGCTGGTGGGTGCGCGCTCTAGGCCACTTGCGGGTGTCTGCCCTCGCGCTCCTACCGGCTGCCGCTCGCCGCCCCACTTGCCCCCTGATTGCCAACCTGCCCCCTGCCCTCTACCAACCTGCTGGGCCTGTGATCTGGCTCTTCTCACCAACCTCCAGAGAAGTGGCTTCCCTGTGCCTCACTTGTCTGATGGCCCTGGCTAGTTCCTTCATTCGGGCTTTGAGGAGTCCTATAATCCCAGAGCTATCGGCAGACCACAGTTTTCAGTGTCTGCGCGTGGCAGAAAAAAACAGTCGCCGACACAGGGAAATGCCTCCTGAATGCCCCCACTGAGGCCAGAGACTCAGTAGACCACATCCTGATCTCTTTGTAGCCACGAGCTTTTGTCTTCAGGCAGTTCATACACTGATTCGTGGAACAACATTTATTGAACACCTACTATGTGCCAGGCACTGTCCTGTGCTGCACTGGGGACAGAGCCTGAACAAAACAGACAAGACTCCTGCCTTTTTTTGACCTTACATTTTAACAGCGACGATAAAACATAAACAATAGATGGGTATGTTAGATGAGCCATAGGAGCTGTAGAGAAAAATGAAATCGGAAACCAAGACAGGGAATGTTGAGGGTGAAGGGTTAGACAGAGTAGCGAAGGAAGCCTTCACTGAGAAAAAAGGCTGGGAAGCGAAATACTTAAATATAATATCTGAAACGTAACGACTACTTCTTTGGCCTAGAAACCAGCTATAGCAGCTCCATTCAAGGGTTTGCGGGGTTCTGTGTCAGAAACTTAGCCCCCGGGACATCTCACGTTAGCTAGGACCCCAGAAGTCAGCTGGTCCAATCCAGTGCCTCTGATGTTTAATCCTTTGGAAACTGGCCCAGGTGAGTGCTCGAGAACTCTGGATTGGGGTAGTCAGGCCTGCTGGATTCCCAGCTCCAGCCTCACCAGCCCAGAGACCTAGGCCAGTTACCCAATCTCTTTAATTCCAGTATATTTGCCTGGTAAGCGAGATGACCATTTTAGCTGGCAGGGGTGTCAGGAGCATGACGTGAGATGCTGTTGCCAGAGTGCTCAGCTCCAAGCCAGACACAGAGGATACACTAAATACACGCCAGAGACCTCTCTGTCTAGCTCGGTTGCTGACCCCTGTCGTTGAAGGATTTTTTACTGCAATACCCAGTGTTCGTTGTCTCGCTACTTGGAAGAATGACGAGGTGGGCACCAAATGAGCAGCAGGCACAAGTTTATTAGAGTATAAGATCAGAAAGGAAGAATAGTATGAAAGCTCTCTTTACAGAGAGAGGGCATTCGAAAGTGAATGCTTGAGGACTGCAGGCGAGGGTCCTTGTTTCATAAGGTTCTGGTCATGTCCCCTTCCCTTCCCCCTTTTTCCTTCTCAGGTCCTACCCTTACTGACTGGGTAGCTCTCGGTACTGGGTTGTCCATTCCTGATTGGCTCGTTTGAGGGGGGGAGGGGGCATCTGTGGCCGTCCATTCCCGATTGGCTCATTCTCATTGTGAGGACCGTTCCTTGTGGGTCATACGTTTTAAGGTCTACTTGTTTTCAGTTAGGTCTTTCGTCAAATTCCTGAGGGAATGTGAGGGGGAGTAGGTGGTGTCTGTTACATTCTTAAGGGGAACCTGACGCCGGAGGGGGTTTGCTGTGGTCAGACCCTCCCAGCATTGTTCCAAACTATGTGTTTTTCCCCACCCAGGGACCTCAGGTCTGTCCTTTCCCTCTCTGCCTACTGAATCGTATCTTTTCCTATCAGACTGTCACCACAGTGACGGGAAGCCCACCGTGGACAAGGCAAACCATCCCCCTTAGACATAGGCCCGTTTGCATGGCGATCGAGTACGCACTCCGGAGCCAGACCGTCTGGGTTACCGTCCTGGCCTTGCCCGTCGCCGGTGGCATAAGCCTGTGCAAGTTCCTAACCTCGCTGAGGAGCATTTCACTCATCTGTAAATGGGGGGTAATGATGCTGGCCACCGCATAGGGTTATACAAGCGACGCTGGTGAAGTGCTGCAGAACCGTGCCCAGGCTGCCGTGAGTGCATGCCGTGTAGGTGTTTCCTTCTTTATATGGATAGTGTCAGCTGCTGTTGTCATCTGAACAGAAGAAAGACATTTCCCTTGCCGTCACAAAGGGGCAGAAGGGACATAGAGATGATAGCCTCAGCCTGTATTTACCTATTGCAATAGTGTCCCCTCTGTCACGTTGGCTGACTGTGACCAGCTCTTTTCTGGGTCAGGATGCATAAACCCGTCACCTGTGTGTTGGCCAGAGGAAGGAAGGTGCAGGACCAGTGGAAGGTGGGCTCCTCTACACACAGGACCTCTCCCTCCCGGTTCCACCCACCCCCCCCGTGGCAGAGCTGCTCCCAGCAGGACCCCAGCTTTCTCCTGCTGCCTCATCACAAAACACACTCAGCTTCACACAGTAGCACAGATTGGAGTAATGTGTGCCATATTGGGACTCTTGTAACAGCTAGAAGTCCTGCGAAGAAACCGCTCACTGTTTCCTCACCTGGCTCCAACCCCAGGAGATCAGCTCTGGTTTGTGTCAGTGGCAGGAAGTGGACAAGGTACAGTCTAGATGGTAACTCACGACCCCCACCCCCACCCCTGAACCCAGGGAACTTCTGCTTGCTTCTTCCAGCCCCCAGGGCAGTTAGTGTGACAGGGAACAAAATATCAGCTGGTTGCCTGGGAAGGGATTGTGGCAGCACGGTCCCCATGTGAGTCCCCAGTTCTTGTGGCCTCATGGAGGTAATGGCAGTAGGACCAGTAATCTCGAAGCAACAGAAACTGAACAGCCAAACTGCAGAGCTAACATCTATTGAGCACTTGCTAAGTGCCCAGAACTCACTGAGGGCTTCCCAAGTTCAGTCATCCCAGTGCCCCTAGGGAGTGGCTTCAGCTCGTACTCCTATCCTTACAGATGAGAGAACTGAGGCTTTTCAAGGTCAAGGAACCTGTCTGAGGCTTGTGGCCAGCTGGGAAGTGGCAGAGCCAAGATGTACACCCTGATCTATCTGACTGCAAACCCCACATTCCCAGTGGCCTACTGGTTCCCTGCTAAGTGACATTCACCTCCATGGTGAGGCTTTGAGCCTGCCAGCTACAGCTTCAAAAGTCTGCTCTACAGATTGTCCACCTCTCAGCTCTAGAGCTACTTTTGAAGCCTGTGCTCATTCATTATTTTACTCAACAAATAGTTATGAGCACCTGCCATGTGCCAAAACCATACCACATGCTTTAGGTACAGTGGTGAAGAGGACAGACATATCTCTTTTCATGTCAGGTTTGCATTCTCTATGAGAGATAGTCAGGAGACAGAATCACATAAGAAGCAAAGATGCAAAACCATCTCAGGAAGCAAAGAGTCCTAGGAAGGACACAAAACAGGGCAATGAGGTAGGAACTAGTTAAGGGAATATTTCTTACGAAATAACCTTTGGTTCAAGACTGAACAAAACAGGGAAAGGAGTGAATAAAGAGCTCATAGAAGAACAGCCAAAGAGAGAAGCTGGTGCAAAGGTCCTGAGGTAGCAATGGGCTGGTGCATACAGTGAACAGCAAAAAGAAGGCCAGTGCAGCTAGAAGAGTAAGTGAGGAGAAGATACACTAGAGATAAGGTGGGAAAGTGAAAGCAAGAACCAGATTAGGAAAGACCTCCAGGTCATTGAAAAGACACTTGTGTTCTATAAATAGTATGGCAAGTGGCTTCTGGGTAGCCCAGTCGGTTAAGCATCTGACTCTTGATTTCAGCTTAGGTCATGATCTCGTGGTTGTGAGATCGAGCTCCATGTCAGGCTCTGTGCTGGGAGCCTGCTTGAAGATTCTCTTCCTGCCTCTCCCCTGCTCAGGTTCTCCCTCTCTTTCTCTCTCTCTCTCTCTCTCTTTCTCTCTCTCTCTCTCTCTCTCTCTCTCTCTCTCTCCGTCTCTCTGTCTCTCTCAAAGGAATAAAACAGAGTATAAATAGTATGGTGAAAAGCCACTGGAGGATTTTCAGCTGGAGAATGATATGACCTGATCTGAATGTGTGAGAATGAACTGTAGAGGGTCAAAGGGAAGACCCAGCAGAAGGGTGTGATCCAGCCCCTACTTGATTGCCTGTAAATATGTGAAGAATGCAGTCATAATCTTCCCAAATCTCTCCTTCTCTACGAAATATTTTCACTTCCTTCACCTGTTTCTCCTGTGGCAAGGTTTTGAAGTTCTCCCCATCCTGCTTTGGACCCACTGACTTCTTGAAACTCCTTCCCAAACCATGTTCTAGTTCTGTGGTTCCTCCTCTTCTCCAAATCTGCTCCACCCCATACCCCAGTGGTCCATTCTCCTATGTAAAGCAATTAGCCCTATTTCCTCACCCCTCCTGAGAATATTAGCAACAGGCTGGTTACCGCAGCACCAGGGTGGGCAGAGGGGAGAAGCTGAGCCACGGTGCGGTTGCAGTAAGGAGCCCAGCGGACCCTGCCTAGAGCTCTAA